ATATAATATAATATAATATAATATAATATAATATAATATATTATATTATATTATATTATATTATATTATATTATATTATATTATATAATGTAATATATAATATTATATTATATTATATTATATTATATTATATTATATTATATTATATTATATCTATATTAGCTGTCCCTGCAGTTGCTGTGGCCCAGTCTGTGTAAATATATTTTTATATATATTATATATTTATTATTATTATTTATTATTATAACAATCACCCCCAAACTTAATAATAATAAGAAGAAGAAGAAGAAGGAGGAGAAGAAGAAGAAGAAGAAGTTTGGGTGTGATTGTTTATTATTTATTAAGCTTATATATTATATTATATTATTATATTGTTATTATAATTATTATAAAAGGTTTGGGGTGATTGTTTATTATTTATTAAGCTTATATATTATACTATATTATATTATATTATATTATATATTATTATTATTATTATTATTATTATAAAAGGTTTGGGATGATTGTTTATTATTTATTAAGCTTATATATTATATTATATTATATTATATTATATTATATTATATTATATATTTTTATTATAAAAGGTTTGGGATGATTGTTTATTATTTATTAAGCTATTATATTATATTATATTATATTATATATTATTATTATTATTATTATTATTATTATAAAAGGTTTGGGGGTGATTGTTTATTATTTATTAAGCTTATATATTATATTATATATTATATTATTATTATTATTATTATTATAAAAGGTTTGGGGTGATTGTTTATTATTTATTAAGCTATTATATTATATTATATTATTATATTATATATTTATCTATCTTGTATTCCTATTCCTTGTCTATGTATTATTATTATTATTATTATTATTATTATTATTATTATTATTATTACTTTACTTGTATACCGCTGTTTCTCAGCCTAACTGGCGACTCAACGCGGTTTACAACAAGGATAAGAATCAATCAACGATATACAATTTAAAACCATAAAAGCATAATATACAATATTGACACAACAATAGACAACACAATGCACAATATTATTATTATTATTATTATTATTATTATAAAAGGTTTGGGGGTGATGATTATTTATGAAGCTTATATATTATATTATATTGTATTGTATTGTATTATATTATATTATATATTATTATTATAAAAGGGATGGGGGTGATTGTTTATTATTTATTATTAATAAATAATAAATAATAAAATATAATAAAATATAATATTATAATTATAAAAAGTTTGTATTATTTATTATTAATAAATATTAGTAAAATATAATATAATAATAATAATAATAATAATAATAATAATAATAATAATAATAATAATGGTAATAATGATTTGGCCCCTTCCAAAGGATTCTGTGGTTGCTTTTAGGCTTTTGTTTTTAAGAGATCTACCTATGAGGATCTGCTTGTCTACCGACCTGCTTCCCTGTGGCAGTGTGGGGCCGGTCTGGCTGTCCTCTGGGGTTCCCTCCCAACCTGTGTGTGTTTCTCTTTGGCAGGTGGTACCACCGTCAGGTGGCCGCGGTGCCGGCCACTCCCGACCCGTGGGAGGCCCACCGTGAGGTGTGCGAGCTGAACCCCTCGTGCGACGAACTGGCCGACCAGGTGGGCTTCCAGGAGGCCTATCGCCGCTTCTACGGCCCCCTCTGAGCGGCAGCCAGGGCTTCTGTCCAGTCTGTCAAAAAGCATTGAATGGTCAATAAAAGACGCATTGAACGGCGTGTCGTTTCTTGTCCAGGGTGCATTTCCTCCTCTTACTAATTATAACGATTAATCCCACTTGGCAGAAAGGAAGGGGTGGACTAGATGACCTTTGGGGGACCCTTTCCCCAACTTTGGTGGAATATATATAGATTTCCTTTCTGGACTCTTGACTCAATGGGCACCTCTCATTAACCTGTTTATGAGGAAATAATAATAATAATCTATATAAATCAAAATGTCATGTGAGTTTGTGGGATGGACATTACTCCAAAACCACTGGACGAATTGACACCAAATGTGGACACAAGACACCTCTCAGGCCAACGAGTGACCGTCACTCAAAGAAACACTGAAAAACACAACGGAAGAGACTTTAAAAGCCAAAAAACCAAAAATTACATTACAATGCATGCAGAAAACCACATATATACATGCAAACACACATATACACACATATGTGCACACTCTCACACACAACACATAAACAGAAAGGAAGAGGGAGGGAAAGAAAGAAGGAGGGAAGGAAGGAAAGAAGGAAGGAAAGAAAGAAGGAGAGAAGGAAGGAAGAGAGAAGGACTGAAAGAAAGAGGGAGGGGAGGAGAGAAGGAAAAAAGAAGGGTAGAGAAGGAAGGAAGGAGAGAAGGAAATAAAAAGTGAAAGAGGGAAGGAAGGAGAGAAGGGACGAAAGAGGGATGGATGGAAGGAAGGAAAGAGACAAAGAAGGATGGAACCAAAGAGCAAAGGAAGCGAAGAAAGAAACGGGTAGAGAAAGAAGAAAGAAGAAGGGACAGAAAAAGAGGGAAGGAAGGAAAGAGGAAGGGAAGGAAGGAAGAGAGAAGAAGGAGGGAAGGAAGAAAGGAAGGATGGAGCCAAAGAGGAAAGGAAGCAAGGAAAGAAAAGGAGAGAAGAAGAAGAAGCGGGAAGGAAGGAAAGAGGAGGGAGGAAGGAAGGAGAGAAAGAAAAAAGGAGAGAAAGAGGGAGGAAGGAAATAAAGGTAGAGAAGGAAGGAAGAAGGAAAAAAAAGAAAAAAGAAAGAAAAAGAGAGGAAGGAAGGAGAGAAAGAGGAGGAAGGAAGGAAAGAGACAAAAAGGATGGAACCAAAGAGCAAAGGAAGCGAAAAAGAAACAGGTAGAGAAGGAAGAAAGAAGAAGGAAAGAAAAAGAGGGAAGGAGGAAGGAGAGAAAGAGGGAGGGAGGGAAGGAAGAAGGAGAGAAGGAAGGAGAGAAGAAAATAAAGTGAAAGAAGGAAAGAGAGGGAAGGAAGGAGAGAAGGAAGGAAAGAAAGAGGCAAGGAAGGATGGAACCAAAGAGCAAAGGAAGTGAGAAAAGAAACAGAAGGAAGAAAGAAGAAGGGAAAGAAAATGAGAGAAGGAAGGAAAGAGGGAGGGAGGAAAGGAAGGAAGAAGAGAAAGAAGGAGAGAAAGAGGCAGGGAAGGAAAGAAAGGTAAAGAAGGAAGGAAGGATAGAAGGAATTAAAAAAGTGAAAGAAGGAAAGAGAGGGGGGAAGGAAAGAGACAAGGAAGGATGGAACAAAGAAAAGGAAGTGAGAAAAGAAACAGGCAGAGAAGGAAGAAAGAAGAAGGGAGGAAAGGAAGGAGAGAAAGAAAGAAGGAGAGAAAGGGAGAGGGAAGGTTGGCCACAGCAACGTGTGGTGGGTACAGCTAGTCTATATAACTAAAAATGTCAGGTTCGTTTGTGGGATGAACATAACTCCAAAACCACTGGACAAATGGACACCAGATTTGGACACAAGACCCCTCTCAGGCCAATGAGTGACCATCACTCATCAAAACACTGGAAAACACAGCAGAAACACAAAACCCAAAAAAAATTACATTACAACACATGTGCAAAACCATATATATGTGTATGTGTGTGTGCAAACACAAATATATATTATACACATATAAAGAAATACACACACACACATATTTATTTATTTATTGTTTTATTTATTTCCTTCATTTATATACTGCTTTTCTCAGCCCTTGGGCGACTCAAAGTGGTTATATAAACACACACAAAGCCCATATACACAGACTGGTCCACAGCAACGCGTGGCAGGGGACGGCTAGTAATAATCATAATAATCTTTATTTATATCCCGTCCCTCTTTGCTAGGGGACTCGGAGCGGGTTTGGGGGTGATTGTCCCTGGCATATGGGAGTCGTAGTTCACCCTTATCTAGAGAGCCCTCAACCCAGCTGACGTTGGATCTGGACCACATTTGGCACACGGACTCAATGTGGCCAACTGGGCATACAGGAAGGATTTGGGGAGGATTGGGCCACAGTTTTGGGAGGGTGAGAAGACAGGATCATCCAGTTTGCAGACGGGACCAAATTGGGAGGGATAGCCAAGACTCCCGAAGACAGGAGTGATGTCGAGCACCCCCCCCCCAAAAAAAAATAAGGGATAGTGACTTATAGTTCTGCAAAGGGCAAGGGAACCAGACTACACAACAAGGGTCAGGTCTTGGTCACATTGCCAAGGCACTAACAACAACAAGGACCCCACGAGACTTTTGGGGAACGGCTGGATCTTGGGACTTCTGCCCTTCATGAGAGTTGTAGTTTCCCAAGGACCAGCTTCGATCCCAGCGTGGCAGCTCTGCCTAATGTTTTTGGACTCACAAGGACATCCTTCCCGCTCATGAACTTCCCTCAAAATGGAATATGGACTCACATTGCTTGGAACTATTTATTTTATTATTTATTTGCTTTATTTCTATACCGCATATTTCAGCCCAGACAGGCGACTCAATGCGGTTTACATGGTACAAATTATCAACAGTGTCAGTGCAATTAAAACGCAACAAGTGCGACAAACAGGATCAACAACATCAATCCACAACAGTTAACAAAACAGAACAGGACAGTCAACACACACAACATAACGCCTCAGTGAACTCAGATCCGTTCTCATAATCCTTGTGCCGTTCCTATGTTCCATTTACCGTCTTCCTATAATTGGTTGCACTGTTCAACCAAACGCCTGTTCGTAAAGCCAGGTCTTAACCTTTCTCCGAAACGCCAGCAGCGAAGGTGCCTGTCTGATGTCTGCCGGTAAGGCATTCCATAGCCGAGGGGCCACCACTGAGAAGGCCCTGTCTCTCGTCCCCGCCAGGCGGGACCGAGAGCAGGGCCTCCCCGGACGATCTTAATGTCCTAGTCGGTTCATAGGTGGAGATGCGTTCGGAGAGGTAAGCAGGGCCAGAACCGTTTAGGGCTTTATAGGCTAAAGCCAGCACCTTGAATTGTGCCCGGTAGCGAATTGGCAGCCAGTGGAGCTGGCTCAACAGAGGAGTGGTATGCTCCCTGAGTGCTGCTCCCGTTAACAACCTGGCTGCCGAGCGCTGGACCATCTGAAGCTTCCGGGCAGTCTTCAAGGGCAACCCCACGTAGAGCACGTTGCAGTAATCAATCCGGGATGTAACCAGAGCGTGGACTACCGTGGCCAAGTCAGACTTCCCAAGGTACGGGCGCAACTGGCGCACAAGTTTGAGTTGTGCAAATGCTCCCCTGGACACCGCCGAAACCTGGGGTTCCAGGCTCAGCGAAGAGTCCAGGATCACACCCAAACTGCGAACCTGCGTCTTCAGGGGGAGTGCGACCCCGTCTAACACAGGCTGTAACCCTATACCCTTAATTTTTTTATTAAATTTCTCTGGTGGGTGGGATGGAGAAGGGGTGATTGATCTATATACTAGGCTTGGGTAACCACGGAAAAAATTGGTTCTAAACTCGTTTCGTTTTTAGGGGGGCCCTTGCGTTTCGTTTTTTAAAGAATTCCGAAATTTTCCTTTAAAATTTTTTGAAATTTATGAAATTTTGTATAATTACGAATCGATTCGTTAATGGCGGACGCGATTGCGCAATACGCTAAAAACCCCTCCAAATGGGACAGGAGGAACTTCTGAAGCTTCCCTCTCCCTCTGTGGTTGACTGTTGGTGTGATAACACACACAACAACTATAAAACTTGCACCAGACATGCGAAAATAATTACGAAATAATTACGAAATAAATTGAAAAAATTGTTTCGAATCTTAATTACTCCTCACACTATTCCTGCATGGCTCAATATTGGATCGTAAGCTAATTTAAATACGAATTAATAACGAATTACGAAATTAACGAACGAAAGCGCCCAAGCCTACTATATACTTTCCTTCTATGTATTTCCTCCACAAGTCTGACCCAGCCAAGAACTCTTTTGCCCTTTGGGAGGCTGATCGGGGAGCGGCCCGCCGGGCTGAAAAGGCAATCAGGCATCACAAAATCACCTATTTACTTGGAACTCACACCTGAACAATGGGACCTGGAGTTACTATTTGACTTTAGGAGGGGGTCCTCAGACTGTGATTTCCTCCTCTGCCGAGTTTCCCTTCACAAGAAACATCCTTCCCAGCCTCACCTTTTACCTGATCTGATCCTGGAAGGGGAGAACCTGAATCAAATGATTATCCCTAATCACTGATCCATCACAACAACAACAACAAAAAGTAGTTTCCTTGGCTGGCTGATCCCTCGGGCACCGGAAATCCAGGACAGTGGAAAGTCCTCATTCTCTCTGAACACATCGTCCCTCTTCCGTCCCGCCTCCCTCTCCCTGATTGGCTAAGGAGCCGAAGAGGGAGGGAGTTTTGAAACTTCCAAACCTGTCTTTTGCTATAAATATGCTTCTGATCAATGTACTGGGATGCTTGCATGTGAATGATCACTGCAATTGCATCCGCTTCAGCTGAATCGCTCATTAAACCTCGATGCCTCTTCTTCACTTTGGCAAGAGTCTCATTTCAATTATTAATATTAATAAAATGGCTGGAATCAGGCTTCTCTGACGGCTCGCTAAGGTCATGGGCCATCTTTGTTTTTGAATTTTATTTTTATTTTATTTAAGTAAACATACATTTGCAAGTATTTGTTGCATATAGTGCAATACTTTCTATCTATTAATGTTCTATAATCCTTTATCTCATAGTACAGGGTTAGTCAAAATGAATAGGCCAATAAGAAA